TACGATCTTTTCTGGGCATATCCATTAAATTATTCCGAAGGCTTTGGAATGCAATAAAAGGACCTAGGCATTCTTGCGAAGGATTTACTGAATTCAGAGGTTTTGCTTGTTCGTTGCCTCTCCCCCCACAATACATCACATACGCGTGCCTACATGGAAAACGGTGGTATTGGGGAGTGAATCGTGTAACTTTTAACCCTCGGTTAAGCGATTAATTATAAACCGTACAAATTATCTAGATAAGTGTTAATATTTATATATAATTATATATATGACAAGCCCATAGGGTCATTGGTAATTATTAATGTTGTTCTTATCTTAATATTGTTAAATTAATTATGAAATACACTGAGCAGTGCTAATACATTTATAAGCGTTTTATATAAGTGTAAATATGCATTTTTTAGTTTCTATTACGTCAGAATGTATTTTGTTTACTTTCAGTAAATTAATAAATTTTAAATGATCTTTTGTTAACGACTTTTCAACATGCTCGCGCTCCCCTTGTAGTGTTATCGCACCCCCTAGGGGGGCACCCCGCAGTTTGAGAAACACTGATTTATAGTGAAAGGACTTGAAGAGACTCCGTTACACACTTATATTGTCTAACTTACCATAAAATCCAGCGTATAAAGCGCACTTTTAACACACAAAAAATGATCTAAATTTACGGGCGCGTGTAAAACGCAGGGTTAAAAACGAGAGCTTTAAAAATAAAGGCATAATGAACATAGAAAAAAATTAGACTTCTGTATCTATCGAAATAGTTTTTATTCAAAAGAGACAACATTCCTTTTGAGCTTAAATAGTTATTATAGAAGTATACTTTTTTTTCTGAAGCTTAGTATAAAGCATCGAATAAATGACTTAAGAACATAAAAGCATTGCGAAATCACATTTCTAGTTTCTTCGTAAAAAACGGGGTCCGCGTTATACGGCGAACATACCTAAAAATAAAAAATTGACGTTTGAAAGTATGGGTTCGCGTTATACCCCGGATTTTACGGTATATTTCTTTCTCAATAATGTAACAAAAAATGAAAAGAAAAAAAATGAGTTAAAACCTAATTACCGATTAAGTTAATCACTTAAAATAAAAATGCTTTAAATAATCGTATTTATTGTATCGTACTAACGATATAGCTCTTTTAAAAAAATAGTTTCGATTTTCTATTTTTACAGGAGACATACACACACTCACATGAGATAAACATTTATGTCTATTTTTTACTATACATTTATGTTTATGTTTTTACATACACACACACAGTTACTACTAGGTAACTATTGCATAGGTGAAGTATAGGAGGCAAGTAATTTCTTGATAAGAGGACATGTTGCTTTTCAGTATGATAACATTGGATAACTTTTTTACGATGCTCACTTGTGCGGTGATGTTAACAAACAGCGTAAAAGTCAAAGCTAATTAATAGCGTAAGCTACAGTAATAGTTTAGGGCATCGATTACATCCTCATTTTCTGATTTTGACACACTCCTTGCTGAAGAGCCTGAAAGGGATTTAATTTTGAATTTTGATAATCATTGCTTGGTAGCACTACTGAATGGATGTTTTGTGATCCGAATACTTTCACTAGGGTTGAATGGAATTAATTGTACTTTTTTCAGCGTGTCGTTTACGAAAATCCTGTTTGACTATCACTCGGTTTTTTAAAAATTTAGTTGATGAACGAGGTTAATGGTTTTGGATAAGGACTAATCTCTCCAAAAAATGATATTTGTGAATTACACAGATGTCACGAATGAATGTGTGATGTTTACCTTGAACCTTGTGTAATATTTACGGACAAATTGAAGATAAGTAGCCGCCTGACCTTTATTTGCGGGTATCTACTGCAAAGTAAAAGGTAGGAATCTCTTCTGCCCATTTCATGCGATCATTCCCGATTACAATTGTCAGCAAGGGCTTTAAATCTCGTTTTTATCATTTCTCTATATTTATATTTTTTTATCATTTCTCTATATCTCATTCTCTTAAGAGGGGTAAATCTTTCAATGCTACTTTTTAAAACCTTTTAGACCTTTACTACCTTCTTATTGTTTAGAAGGTAGCATAACCGCACTGGCAAATTCTGCAGCCCATTATAATTGAGTGGGTAAACCGTATTTCAAGCCGACTTTTCAATTATAGCTGCAGCATATTATTTTGCAGAATATTGAGTAAAAAAAAATTCAATCCACTTTATGGTGTAGTCTTCTGTGTTTTGAAAACATTATTTACCACATCATCAGTTTCAGATAAAGGATTTTACAGTAAGATTAGATAGTCGAAAGATTTTTTTTTTCTTTTTTAATCGCTATATCCTAGAAAAATATCCTTTAACCCAAAAAAGAAAAATGGCACAAATAAATAAATAAAAATTTTTTTTATCTTCTGTTTGCAGCTTGCACTTGAAGTTTTAAGAAATGCGGAAATTGTTTAGTTTTTTTGTCAAATTTTATAACTTTTTTTTTAATCTATGAATACCGTAACATTATTTTTTTAAACATGAAGTTTAGGATATGAGGAGTAAGGAAAAAAAAAAAATTTAAGATTTGTTAATATTTCTTTTTGTGCAAAAAGCTCAAGAAGCATATTTTTTAATTAAAATTAAAAATATTTTCTAATTTTGTTCTACTTTATTTTTTTTATCATTGATAAACAAAACAATAAATGTTAAATATATATTTTTTTTCATTTAGGTATCTAACATTGTAAGTAAATCTGTTACTAAGTATCTAATTTGTGAAATTATCCAATATTTATATGCAAATAATGCAATAAGGCAAATTTTTGAGAAAATATGGGTATGGATCTTGATAAAATCAGGAATTCTGATGACACCGTGTTTTCCTTTAGCATGACACAATTTTCGAAAGGCTTCCGTCTTACGTTTGACGTAGCGCTTAGCCGCTTGGGCGTTATATAGGGAAGCTCTTTTTAAATCTGTATCTGAGTCATTTATTATACAATAAGCTTGAAGGACAAAAATGACGCATTTGCAACTGTTTCTCACTAAAAGAGACTTCTTCATGGATCGTTGATATTATTTTTAGGTTGATTCTCATTTGTCATGATGTTTTTTACTGGTGTCGCATCAGAGACTTGAATTGATAATCATTAATTTCATTATCTGAGATACCACACACTCCATGTATTTTTATTTGTTCCGCGTCAGAGTGTTCCATTTGTGGGTATTTACAATTTCACCCTAAATACTTGTGGACAGGTCTTGGATTCTTTGCATTTTTACGCGAATTCGTTTTCAACCTTTCAAACTGATAAAAATCATTCTTGATTTTTAGTAAATTTTTTTAAAAAAGTCCTAGGTAGGTTATATAAATCAATATAAAAATTGTCCTACCTTTTCTGTTGTTTCGGGGAGGTTAAATCTGATATATCAATTAGATTTAATGCTATCTAACATCAAATTCAAAATTGATGACTCACTGGTTAATGTTAAATTGAATTGAATAAAAAAATTATTTTTTAACAATTAATACATTATATTAAACTACATATAAAAACGAACACACGACGTAACACTAACAGAGGTAAACAGAGATCGTTGCAGTGCAAGCGTCTTCCATTACACAAAGAGTGAAACACAATTTACGAAAACAGAAGGGAGAAATTTTAAGAAAATACGCCGATAATTATTTCAAATGGTTATAACTCTGAAAATAATTTGAATTTTTTAAAAATCATAGTTGAGCCTCTGTACAAAGGTCTGATATATATACAGGCAAAATATTAATACAATAGAAGCATTTTTTTTATAAAAGGAGAACATTTGGAAAAAAGGTTATTCTAAGTTAATTTTTTGCCAAAATATTGTATTTAAATAATTTTTTTGTCATAATGTCCTTAAAAAAATTTATACATGCATTCTAATCTAAGTGACACTAAATATCATGAAAATTATACATTTATGCGTTTTATTAAAATCATGGTTCCGAACGCGTAGTCGGATACCTTAAGCTTCTTTAGCTTAAAATTTATGGTTACGTTTGCTGTAAACAGATTGCTATCTCAACGGCATAGTGCTTACACAGTTGTTTTTACTAGTACAAGAGCAGTACTTATATCAACTAACACTTGGATATCTCATTCTGAAGTAAATCTAGTAACTTATCTGTGTGTATTTTGTACGTCTATTTATGATTTCTGAAGGCAATCTTTCCGATTAACCATTAGCAAAAGACTGCTTCACTTCGTCTTGCAGTATTTTAATAAGACAATGTCCTTTCCAAATTTCGTTCGGATATATTGTTGTAATAAACCATTCTTTGTTAATGATCTTCTGAACATTAACATGAATTTTTGTACCTTATTTATCAGAGGACTTTGGTTCCGGTTATCTCACTTTTACTATGACTCTGACTACTGTGAATGAATCCTTTACTGTCAAAAATATCTCCTACCTGGAACGAGTTACTCTCTGAGTGAAATAAATTTCTCCTTTATTATATTGCTGATCTGATTAAATTTCCAACTTATTATAAAGTACACCAGTAACCGCCAGCTGCTCATCACGTACAAAGCATAATTGCTGATCTACTGATAATATTCTACCCACTGCACAATAATTGTATAAAAAAATTCAACGTTCATATTTCATAAAAAAAATACATAAATTTTGTAAGAATTAAATTCTTATAGAAAAAATTTTCAAGAGAAAATTTCAAAATATAATTCAGACAAAAATTATATACCGGGATTTCAAGAATCATCGGGATCCCAAGATTTCGAGATTCTGGAGCTGCAAACCCTAGTATTTTTGAAGTTATACTTCTTTTGGGGCGTTATATATAGAGAAATAGAATGAGGGTGAATTTTTACGATGTGCGCACACACCGTCACGGACGTGACGCAAAACCATCACGGATGTGACGCACACCGTCACGGATGAGAAAATGCATTGTCTAGAAATATACAGAACGGGACAGATCATGGCCACCTTCAAAATTCTCAGGAAAATATTTTTCTTCACTTCCCTGAAGAACAGGACACCCGGGTTCGAACCGGAGACCTCTCAATCTGCAGTCGAATGCTTTACCACTAAGCTATACACTCGCGTCAGCAAACCTTTGCTTTGCGTTCCGTAGTAA